TTCCTCACACTCTGCAGCAGGCTCCTCCTCTGTGCCGCCATCTTGGAGGGACCCCCGAGAGCGCGCCCGCCTCCTGGCAGAGCAGGCGAGAAAGGCGGCTAGAGCGGCCCAAAGCCGGCCAGGAGGACCGCGCTGCCAGGGAGCTTGTGCCCAGCGCCACCCTATGGCCGAAGTAGGATGTGGCCGTAGGGAAGCGAGCGCGCAGGAGCGCTCTTCCACCCTTTCTCCCGTAAGAGATAAAGGGAAGGACGGCTTCCTTATGTGGTAGCCCGTCTTCATCTTTATTTATAGAACTTTCTTCAGGATCCCTTTCAGGTGAGGCTCCTAAGACCCTGGATTAGGGTACTTTATGAGCACTATGGGGGCGGGAGAGGGCGAATTATTCATTCACTCAATATATATTCATTGGGTGACTGTGCCTGGCCCTTTGGGGTGAAGCAGCAAGCAAGACAGGCCCTCCACAAGCTAACATGTTAATTGGGAAGGACAACATTTACATACGTAAGTCATTTCGAATGCTGCTGCTTACTGGGAAGGGAGTTTATGGATGTGGCAGGCGTGGCAGTGTGGCAGGTAACTGGCGACAAGGAAGGGCTGGAGGGGACAGCTAGTGCACAAGGCACGAGGAAAGGGAGCGGGTGGGTTCAGGAAGCATGGGTGTCACCGAAGGCAGCTGTGGCTGGAACAGAGATGGAGGGGGAGTGAGGTGAAGGGGGTAGGGGCAGGCTCTGACCTTGCTAGCCCCAGGCAGGAGTTGGGCTATTTGTCTGAAGGACAAAGGAAAGTTGTTGACTTCTGAGCAAGCCATTGACATGACCCTGTTGGTAGAAAGATCCCTTTGACTACTGTGTACAAAATTGGTGTTTAGAAGAGGATTGGCGTGGAGACAGAAAGGCCAATTAGGAGACTGTTGTACTGGATCCAGGCAACAGTCCCTAGAGTGGTTTGTGTCAGCTGATGGATGTGAACTTTATTTAGGAGATGAAATCATCAGGGCTTGACCATGGATTGGTTGTGGGTGATGATGGGAAGAGATGTGTCAAAGATTCTCCCAGATTTCTGGCAAGAACAACTGGGTCTGAGGAGAGGGAGAATGTTCATTTTCAACATGTTGGGTTTTTTTGGCTGCGCAGCATGGCTTGTGGGATATTAGTTGCCCGACCAGGGATTGAACCCTGGCCCTAGGCAGTGAAAGCGCAGAGTCCTAACCACTGGACCGCCAGGGAATTCCCTGGATATGTTGAGTTTGAGTTGCTTTTGAGACATGCAAGAAAAGAAGTCAGATCATTCCTTAGACAGAGAAGACTAGAGCTCAGAGCAGCGGGTTAGTAAGCAAAGCCAACAGAGAGTGAGCAGCTAGAGAGGCAGGGGGAGCAGAGGTGGCACAGAAGCCAAGATGAGGGGGGCATGGGCAGCAACATGACAGGCTTTTGAGAGATCCAGTTAGAAGGTAACTGAAGAAAGCCTGTTAGGTTTAGCTGTCCGGAGGCCCTTGGCCCAGGCAATTCCGATGGAATGGTAGGACAGAAACCCAGATGCAGTGAGTTGAGGAATGGCTGGGAAATGGAGACACAAAGACCTTGAGAATACGTGGTTCTTCCCAGTTGGTGGGAGGGAACATGGGTTTGAGAAGAGTTTTTTCTTTTAGGTTGGGAGAAACTTGAGCCTGTTTAAATGCTGAAGGAAAGGCTTAATAGAGAAGAGCTGATATTCAGAAGAGGGAAGAGGGAGGCAGTCTAGGACTGGGATGGTGATTCACCATCTTGCTGTCCTACCAGCACAGATCCACATGGCCCAAGATGACTGCTTGAGCTCCAGTCATTTAGTTTGAGTTCATCCAGCAGGAAGGAAAGAGAAAGGTAGGAAGATGGCATTTGCTGCCTCCTTTTTTTTTTTTTCAAATCAACATTTACTTGCAAGCAATCTCCCTTCCCTTTTAAGGAGACTTCAGAGGTTCCTCATGATGCTTCTCCTTACATCTGGATGGCTGTAACCTAGCCCCATGGCCATATCTCACTGAAAGGGAGGTCAGGAAATGAAGACTTTGGACTGAGCTACAAAGTGAACAACTACAGTTTCTGTTACTGAAAAAGGATTGGGAAATGGATACCAGGAGCTTATGTGCAGTCTGCCATGAAGCGGGTTGCTGAGGCCTGGTGGTTTGTCTGTTGAGGAAGAGTCTGGAAAGAATTAAGATTTGGAGTCCAGCCCACTCCATTTGAATTCCGGCTCCATATCCTGTCGCCTGTGTGACCTTGAACAAGCCACCTGCCCTCTCTGAGCCTCAGTATCCTCTGTAGAATGAGAGTGATAATCTACCTGACAGAATGACTGCAAGGATTAAATGAGATGCCACGGGAAGACCTGACCTGTGGTAGGTGCTGATGTTTATTACATTCAGAGTAAACTTTAATTTTTTAAAAGAGAATAAACACACATTGAGCACCTACTGGATGCCAGGAACTTGTTGGATGTCTTTTCATCATACACTTATTTACTTCTCACTCCAACCTGGTGAGATAGGGTATTGTAATCACCCTAATTTATAAAGCAGGAAACTCCAATTCAGCAAGTCATCCAACATAGAAATGTCAGGATTTTGAACTCAGGTCTTCTGAATCTGCAATGTTGTGATATAATAAGACATGTATATTTCGTCTTCGTCCCAGTTCCTAGCACAGAGCTTCTGAAAGGGTTTTGAAATTTCCTGATAGAGGTGATAGGAGCATCTTTTGTTTTTCATAACAAGCAGCTTTCCACGGAGTTTACGGTTAATGAATGACTGGTGTCTGGATGCCCCTAGATAACTTCAGTTTGGGGGTTAATTGAATAGGGACCAACCTTGTGATTAGAGGATTGGAACTTTCAGTCCCCCCCTCCCCTGCCCCAGGGAGGGGAGACGGGCTGGAAATTGAGTTAATCACCAGTGGCCAGTGATTTCATCAATCATGCCTATGTAATGGAACCTCCATAAAAACCCTAAACGAAGGGGTTTGGAGAGCTTCTGAGTTGTGAGTACATCCACTTCCTGGGAGCGTGGTACACCTCAAACTCCATGGGGACAGAAGCTCTGTTCTCTGTGGACCCTACCAGATCTTACCCTATGTACCTCTTCATGTAGCTGTTTGTATCCTTTGTAATAAACCGGCAGAAGTAAGGTGTTTCCCTGAGTTATGTGAGCTGTTATAGCAAATTATGAAAGGTGAGGAGGGGGTGGAGGGAATCCCTGATTTGTAGCCAAATTGTACAGAAATGTGGGTAACCTGAGGAATCTCTACTTGCAACTGAAGAGGGGGACGGTCTTGTGTACTCGGCCCTTAACCTGTGGGGTCTGCACTGACTCCAGGTACTTAGCATTAGAATGAATTAAATTACAGGGCGCCCCATTGGTATCTGCAGAGAACTGGAGAATTGCTGGCTGGGGGAACCACACACTTGGTGTCAGAAGTGTCCTGCTGGGACTTCTCTGGTGGCACAGTGGTTAAGAATCCGCCTGCCAGGGCTTCCCTGGTGGTGCAGTGGTTGAGAGTCTGCCTACCGATGCAGGGGACACGGGTTCGTGCCCCGGTCCAGGAAGATCCCACATGCCGCGGAGCGGCTGGGCCCGTGAGCCATAGCCGCTGAGCCTGCGCGTCCGGAGCCTGTGCTCCGCGACAGGAGAGGCCACAACAGTGAGAGAACCGCATACCACAAAAAAAAAAAAAAAAAAGAATCCGCCTGCCAATGCAGGGGACACGGGTTCAAGCCCTGGTCTGGGAAGATCCCACATGCCACGGAGCAACTAAGCCCGTGTGCCACAGCTACTGAGCCTGCGCTCTAGAGCCCACAAGCCACAACTACTGAGCCTGCGTGCCACAACTACTGAAGCCTGTGCGCCTAGAGCCCGTGCTCCGCAACAAGAGAAGCCACCACAGTGAGAAGCCCGCTCACAGCAACAAAGAGTAGCCCCCGCTTGCGGCAACTAGAGAAAGCCTGCCTGCAGCAACGAAGACCCAGCGCAGCCAAAAATAAATAAATGAAATTAAAAAAAGAAAAAAAGTGTCCTGCTGTTGTGGGTAAAAACACGTTAGTAGGAGACACCAAGGCCTTTCCTGGCAACCAGTGAAGTAAGCAGACCTGCCAAGGCCCTTTCCGGCTAAGCCTCGGCATAACTTCAAGTTCTGCAGACAACCACGTGTTTCCTGCCTCCGTCTTTGTCCCTGTTGTTCCTACACTTGCCTGCCCGGTGAACTTCTGCTCCATCTTCAAGGCCCTTAGCAGCTGAAAGCCCTTGACATTTGTCTTGATCCTGTAGGGGAGGAAAAATTTCCCTCTGCCCTTCTAGGTCCTCTTTGGCTGGTCTAACATAATTAAATTGGCATAAGACAGATGAACAGGAGAAAAAACAATCTAATTTCGAACGTACGGGAGCCCCAAACATACGAAGCTCAAAGAAGTGACTAAAGCAGGCAGCTTTTATAATTTGTAGGCAAAGAAACTTGTGAAGATTTGACAAAGTGGAAGCCTTTTTGCTTGGGGTAGCAAATTAATGAAGAAGTGACAGAGTTTGTTTATACAGGCTTCTTGGCCTTGAGGCCTTGAATTTGCTATATCTCTGGCGATAAGGATGCCTCCATAATCAGTATGCCAGAGTGGCATGTTTGGGGGTGGCCTGCCCTGAACCCCATCAATTCCCTGACCAAGAATCACTCCCTCAGTCATTTTTTGATCATTTAAAACCACAGGGCTTCCTTGGTGGCGCAGTGGTTGAGAGTCCGCCTGCCGATGCAGGGGACACGGGTTCGTGCCCCGGTCCGGGAAGAGGCCACATGCCGTGGAGCGGCTGGGCCCGTGAGCCATGCTCCGCAACGGGAGAGGCTACGGCAATGAGAGGCCCGCGTACCGCAAAAAAAAAAAAACAGTTATTGTTTGGAGTGACCTTTCCGAGGACAGGAACTATGGCAGTTCAGCTCTGGGTCTCCTCGTAGGCCTTGGGGAAGCTTCTCAGTGACCGTGTGTGGCATCAAATTGATTGAAGAGTCAGAGCTGAATGGATACATTGGTAGATGAGGCAAGTGGGGGACAGGCAGTCCCAAGGTCCCCAAGTGACTTACAGGGG